ATACCAGCACTTCCAGGTAGGTGACGTGATTATCATCAACCCCATTTTATAGGTGAAGAAATGTAGACTCAGAACGGCTGATGTGCAAGTGTGTATTATACACTGGGGCTCTTGTTAAAATGCAGTTTTAGTGAATACGGGGCTTGAGTGTCTCAGTTTCTGAAATGTTCCCAGGTGATGCTGATGCTGCTGGTCCGTGGGCCAGATTGGAGTGGGTTGGGATTAACTAAAGTGCCTTGGGTTGGATGTGGCTAAGAGGTGAGGCTGAGATTTGAACTTAAGTATTCAAACCCTGAATCCTTTACTTTTCCTATCCTATGATGCAGCATCTCACTGTGGACATGCCTGTTATATGTTATAAATGACTGATAAGATCTCCTGGCCCTTTAGTGGGCAGTGGCTTTAGTAATCTCGGTTCTCTGTTTGCCTTGTCTAGCAAACAGTTGTTAAGTCAACCAAACCATCAGTCTTACTGTAATGGCTGTAATTTATAGAGTCAGCTGATCCCAGGACTGGCTTTCCAGGAGCTTTACGTATATATTCTCTACTCTTCTTACCTATGTGAGGTGGGTTCTAGTCTGAGTCCTGATTTGCAGATGAGGAACTCCAGTGACTTGGCAGGTCCCACCCATCACAGCCAAAGTTAGCCCCAGGTTCTCCTGGCCCCAAAATGTCTGATCTGTGGAGTGCCCCACACTTCCTGTTAAACACTGCAGGTGACTGCCAGACCATCACTAATTATTAACATTGCCATCAGCCTCCTTTCCTATCAGTTAATGTCAGCAAGGTAACACTTCATTTTTCACCAGATGAGCTCATTATTAACAGTGTTCTGGGGTTAATCCTTTTATGGTGGTAAAATACATATAACATAAAACTTGCCAGTTGTAGGTATACAGTTCAGTGGCATTAAGTATACTCGTATTGTTGTGTAAGCATTATCATCATCCATCTAAATGTTTTCATCTTCCCCAGCTGCAACTCTGTCCCCACTAAACAGAAACTCTCCTTACCCCCTCCTCTCAGCCCCTGGAGACCTCCATTCGATTTTCCATCTCTGTGAATTCGACTACTCCAGGGACCTCATATACATGGAATCATAGAATATGTGTCCTTCTGTGTCTGGCTGATTTCAGTTAGCATAATATCTTCAGGGGTCATCCATGTTGTAGTGAGGGTAATCCTTTTGAAATGTGAATGAATAATCACTTCCTCATGTATCTTTCAAACCCCAATTTTCATGTAGCAGGGAATACCTCTAGAAAGGATTGATAACAATAAAAACTCCAAATATTAAGGACCTGAGCTTTGAGTTTAAGGGCTCGAGAATCAAGGCTGAACTGAATAGCGGAGGACAGGGGCAGAAGATGGTTCTGAATCAGTACAGGGCAGGGGAACAGTCAAAACAACAAGCCAAAATGCCGGCTAGGTACCTTTCTCCAAAGCTTGCTTGCTAGTGTGTCAGCAAAATACTACAGCCCAGTGGCCTCCTTTCTGGAGAGTCATCCTCTCCATTTACAGCTGATGTCCTTTTGGAGAAACTGTATGGCTTGGGAAGACCTACGTGCTCCTTCATGTACTTGCTGCTGTTCTTTACAACCTTCAGCAAAACTTCTTATGCCCTGAAAACTTCAGCTGCTTCACTTTTAGAGCCAGGGGCAGGATTAACATCTTTTAGGGCTCTTTCAGGTCAAAGTAGTTCTGACACGTGATTATTTTTGTTTTATGATGTTTAAAATCAATATTTCTCAAATTTCAGTTTTTCATCCTTTTCAAGGATTTTGCCTTTCCGCGGTACCCTCACTGCTATTTTACTTAATATTTTTGTTGAGTTAAGTTCACTTTTTAAAGTTCTGTTTGAAAAAGAAGCCCTAAATAATTACCTTAAATGGAAAGCCAGTATCACTTACGATGAATAGAAGGTAAGCTCAAAACTAAGCATAATGGAAACTAAATAGCATTATGAAATTCCAGCTTAATGTTGGTTGCTGCTGCAGGCTGGCCCTGAAGCCTGTTCTCTTTGATAAATGCCAAAGAGATACTGAAGGCACACTAGTGCCCAATTGAGACCTTCTCCTTGACTTGATCTGGAGAACTAAAGGAGAATCCAGACAGGAATAAATTTTTTATTTTATGATTCAAAGTTATTTGATTATTATTTGGCATCTAAAATATCTCTATTTCTTTACTGTCAAGAGTCCCTGGCATTGGAATAAACTCTGCTTCTAGTATAATGAAGGTAATTAACTCTCTGGATTTCAAGTTGGGAAGCAAATATTTATTGAGTTCCAACTCTGGGCCAATTACTGTTGTAAGCACTTTACATACTTTATGTCATTTAATCTTCACCATGACACAGTAGGGATAGATACTCTTCCTAACGCTATTTTACAGATGAGAAAACCGAAGCTTCAGAGAGGTTTCACAGCCAGTGGCCATTTCCCCTCTTATCAATAGTTGATATAAATTTCATATGGCATTAAATCTTAGAGCTGAAGCCCAAGTTTGAATGGCTCAAGGTTTGAGAAGCCTCTCTCTCTCTCTCTCTCTCTCTCTCTCTCTCTCTCTCTGTGTGTGTGTGTGTGTGTGTGTGTGTCGATTAATACTGCTTTTCCATCCAAGTGCCAAGAACACAGGCTAATCTAGATTTCTATTAATCTTGTGTCAGCAGCAATGACAGTTTTACTGGGAGAGGCTGATAAACATCAGTCTGTGAGGATGGGAGTGGGCCGTAACATAAACACACTTCTCCAGAACGGCTGCAAAGCAAACGAGGCTGCCCAGGCCGGAGTGAAAACTGCCGGCATGAGTGTGTGCATGTGCAGTGGTTACTTCTCACACGCACGTGTATTTGGAAGCTCATATGGTGCCTCAGGCACTGCCAGGCGGGAAGGGAATGCATTTTCCCATGTGTAGCCATTCCATGCCTCTTCTGATTGACAGGGCACACTTCATAAAGCTTCCAGCCAACTTTCTGCAAGCAAGTCAGGAGCCTTGATAAGAAAGTGGAATTCAGGGCAATTTAGTGCAATCTGAGCCCGGAGAATGCATTTTCTGAGGATGATTATACACCAGCTGCTTTCAATGACATTCCATTCATTCAGGGATGACTTTTATAAAATAGGCTTCTTTGAGGGGCTGTGACCACAACAGAACCTTGGTGGTATTCAGACTGGGCTCTCTCTGGGCATGCGAATCACACAGCCCATTTCCAAGCCTCACATGGAAATCAGCTTGGAGAATGATGGCAACCTACAGGGTCTCAGCTTGCAAGGCTGTCTCAGACTGGAGTGGAATCTCCAGGTGACCCAGGGGCAGGGAGGCACTGTCGTTTGAAGCTTTAGAGGCACAGGGGTTTATATTGCTGTGTATGGGTTACTCATCTCCTTAAATAAGTAACCTTATCTCCTTAAACCTCAATTTCCTCATTTTTTAAATGAGTTTTTCAGAAAAATTTGTGGTAAAATGGACGTAACATAAAACTGTTTTAACCTTTTTAAGTCATGAACTACATTCACATTGCTTTTTAAATCAGGTTTTTGTTAAGATTAGATAAGAATTTAAAGTGTTTGGAGCAGTACCTGATAATTGGAAGTTGTTCAAAAAGTGGTAACTAAGTTAATCGTTATTATTCTTTTGCATTATATATTAATTTCTTGAGCTTTTCAAAATATGCCTATTCTAGCGACAGGTGTTTCATGGATATGGGCAGGTGCTAAGTGGTGGGTGATACAAAGATAAGGGAAGGATGTGGAATCTGCCAACTGCCTCAGGAAATCCAGAGTCTGATAGGGAAAGCAAATATATATATATATATGTATGATACAGGTACATATTCATATATATGTAAAAGTGCTGTCATAAATGATAACACATAAAACATTTCAAGAAACCAAAGGAGAAGAGAATGATTCCAAGGAGTGTGGAGTACAATGGAAACAAGGCTAGGTGAAACATCTGCATGAAACTTGAAGGTTATGAAACACTTTTACATTCACGGTCTGATATATATATATCATATATATATATATGTTTTTGACATGGAGTCTCGCTCCGTTGCACACGTTGGAGTGCAGGGGTGCAATCTCGGCTCACTGCAACCTCCACCTCTCAGGTTCAAGCAATTCTCATACCTCAGCCTCCCAAGTAGCTGGGACTACAGGCGCGCACCACCATGCACAGCTAATTTTTATATTTTTAGTAGAGACCGAGTTTCTCCATGTTGGCCAGGCTCGTCTCTAACTCCTGACTTCAAGTGATCGCCTGGCCAACGTCTCATCTCAATTGATTTCTTTTTCTTATTATTCTCGTGATAATCCTATGAGCTAGAACAGGAAAGGGATCATGGATTCCCATTATCTGGTGTGTAAACTGAAGCTCAAGGTCACTAAGTAACAGATGGATAGGAGCGGAGTTGGTCTGAAATATGATGACTGAAAACCCAGTGCTCTGAGTCCATTAGTCCATTTCATCTTGGGTCACAAGACAGGCAAAGTACAATTCTAATCAGGGTGTGAGTGGATAAAGAGGTGGTATTCCCAGGTGTGTAGGTCAGGGGTTTTCCACAACGTGATATTCACACCACTGCAAATACAATATGATTGGGTAGACCACAGAGGGACAATTCTTAAATTAATAGTTACACACTTTAATGTTCATCAGAAATGTCAAGCCATGATTTTATAAATGCGATTTCTCACAGCAAGTCTAAATTAAAGTTTAGAGTGTCCATTTAAAGAGTAATTCTAAGTAAGTTGCAGAGCTTGTAGCCTGAAGATCCGGTAGAACTTGTGATGGATGCCAAGGACTGCAGCTAGGAAAGACTTACCCTGTTGGGCTGAGTGGTCCTTTATGAAAACTCAGGACTTGAGAGAAAACGGCGATCCAGCTGGCAGACCCACCCAGGTGCCCCTCATCCATTCCGTGTGATGTAAACTGATCCAACACAGACGTAGTCTGGAATGCTAACAAGTCTCCCTGGGTCTTGCTTCTCTTTGTAGATTGCTGACTTTGGGCTTTCCAACCTGTACCAGAAGGATAAGTTCTTGCAAACATTTTGTGGGAGTCCACTCTATGCATCTCCTGAGATTGTCAATGGGAGACCTTACCGAGGGCCAGAGGTGAGCAGCTTGCCCGATGTGTGTAGGGCTGGGGAGGTGGGGAGAAGAAGGAGGAAGGGCATTGGATTTGAGAAATGCTTAGAAAAACAGAGCCTAAAAAAGCAAGCAAGGAAGACTTTTCCTTATATGATTATAAAAGCAATAATACATACTCCTGGAAGGAAAGTTTGAAAATCTAGAAAAGCCTAAAGGGGAAAATAAAGGTATCTGCAATCCCCCCACAAAACCTAATCACTTAATACTTTTGTGACTTTTAAACTTTTTCCAATGTAGACCTCTGCATTTCAAAAATAATTGAGACCAATTTTTGCCCTTTTTATACATACGTGACACATATATATACATCTTGCCTTTTACTATAAAAACTATCTTGTGCCACTTTCCAAATTCATTTTAAAAACATGATTTTAATGACATTGATGAATATACCATAATTTATTTAGTGACATCTAGATGTGAACATTTAGTTTTTTCCCTGCTATGTCAAAACAGACAGACAAAAAATTCCCTCACTCTGGAGTGAATATCTTTTTTGTATATATTTTTGTCAGCATATATATCTAACTAAGGACATACATTTTAACGACCTCTTCTAATTCCTGAGAAATACATTTCTCTACATGCCTAGAGCTTTCAAGGGCCACTGTAAGATTTGGGTATGTGGAAATTTTATTTTGAAAAAAAAGTGAGTTGTGAGTGGTGATTCTTTTTGAAAGATGGTTCTCTTTTCAGAGAGATTCATCTACTCAGTATCCTTTAAATAGCAGCTGCTCAGCGTGTTGAAATGTTTTCTTTCAAATATTTATCTGTTTGAGAGTGTTTGGGGGCAGGGCTGAAGGGTAAAGAGAAGGATGCCAAGACCATCTATCAACTGCAATGAAGAGAGAGTCTTTCTAAGATAAGAATGCGAGGGAGGAGCATAGAACTCAATTTACGAGCTTGTAGAAACTCAACACTAAATTTCTCGTAGTTCATGAATATTTTGGTCTTTGATGACCTGTTTTTGAGGTTACAAGCTGGCAGCTCTTGATCTGGTCAACAAACTCCTTTATTTGGCCATCTTAGTTTTGATTTTAAAAATTGAACAAACATGTAATAATTGGAGATTTCATATAAAAGTTTGGTTTTTGACTCTTCTTGAAAAACCAAAGAATCTAGCAGTGCTGGGTCCACATTACTACATGGCAGCAGTTAGCATAGGCGAGGTTGTCTGCCCAGATGGGTGAATCTGCTGTCCAGTTGGTCTCCATCCCCAGCACTCTATGTCATAACCCCAGTCCTTTCTTGCTTTGTGTATATCTGTTGTTTGCTTGGCTCTAACACCATTTCGGTTTGTAATTCCTGATTCATTTGAACAAAGTGCAGGAAGGAATTGATTCCTGGATTAGAAATGAAGAGCCCCACATCCCAGTTTTACCTCCAGGGGCAGGGCCTCTGGAGAAACCGTTTAAGTTCTTGTGGCCTCAGTATTCCCATCCCCATCTGTCAAATGGGGCTGAAAATAGTCCCGGCTCTGATGCTTCACAAAATTGTAGTGAGGATTTAAAAAGATAATCTATTTAAGAAAGTTCTTTACTAGTTGGGACCATTGGCTTCTGTTCAGAATGGAAAGGTCAGGCTCTGAAGCAGGTCCCAGCTGCATTGCTGTCAGGTGTCAGGCTGCTGTGGGAACCTGTCTTCCAGGTGCTAAATTCAGTTCCCGGGGGCGTTGCGGGTGACAGCTCACAGGCTGTGATGCTAATGGTTTGGGAGGCATCTTGGGATGTGTTTCCCAGCTCCTATATGTGCTGTCTGTCTGCTCCAGGTGGACAGCTGGGCCCTGGGCGTATTGCTTTACACTCTCGTTTATGGAACAATGCCCTTCGATGGTTTCGATCACAAAAACCTCATTCGGCAGATCAGCAGCGGAGAGTACCGGGAGCCCACGCAGCCCTCAGGTGCGTGCCTTGCGGAAGGAGGGTCAGAGGTGGAGGGGAGAGAGATCTGTTTACCCTACTCTCATTTTCTGCTTTTGTTTTAATATGTCTGTCTGGAGTCTCCTGGTTTTCCTCTTCTTCCCAGAAGCATCATCCTTGGCAAAGCTGGCTTGTTAGGCTGCTTTCCATAAATGTTCCCAAAGGAAATTTTCAGGGCACACGTTCTAGAAGTCCAGTTTGCTTGCTGTGTGAATCTGGGCAAGTCACTTAATCTCTTTGGATTCAGATTCTCCACCATAAATTAAGATTTTGGCAAAGGTATTAGATGGGGTCCCTCCCAGTCTAAGTAGACATAGAAACCACCCACCCGGGAATGTAAGTCCTGTGAGAGTGGCCACTGCTCTGTCTTTCTCTACAGTGCCACTGGCATGAGGTATGGCTCATGGGCACTGTCTAGTTGATTGCTGCATAACAACTCTACCCCATCTGACCCCACAAAACCAAATTCAGTGGCTTCCACAACTGTGAAATAATCTCTGTCACTCCTGGGGGTTGGGAAGGGCTCTTCTTGTCTGCCTTGGGGTTTCTCCTACAGTTGTAAGCAGATGGCAGCTGGAGCCACTGCTGGGGCTGAATGGTGGACCTTCCTTGGTGCCCTCTGAGGTGCCACCCCACAGTGGCAGCTTGGGGTTCTAAGAAGGAGGAACCAGAAGCTGCTGAGCTTCCTTTCTGTTTAAAAAATTTGTTTTTCTTGAGATGGTGTCTTGCTCTGTTGCCAAGGCCGGATTGCCAGTGCTATGTCCGTGCTTGTGCCCAGATTGTGTCACATCTTCTGTGTTCTATTGGTCAAGACAACCATGGTCATGAGCTCTGTCTCTTGATGGGGAGCATCATGCTTGTGCAGAGACTGTGTACAGCTGGCCACTGTTGGTCATTTTGTTAGCAAATGAAGTTAACATTGGCACTTCATTTGCATACATACTATATATATGCATATCTATATATCTGCACATACACAATTGATTCTCATTATTCACAGTAGTTTTGTTCTAAAAAGTTGCTGCAAATGCTGAATTTGTGATTACTGAACCATTGCTCCTAGGGGAAATAGAGGGTTAGGTTCCTGAGAGCCTCTGCTCACAATATTTTTGTCAACTGATTGATATATAACCTGGGTTTATGTGTGTCTCTTTTAAAAAACACCTTATTTAATCTACATTATTAATTCGTTAATAATCAAACTCAATGGCCAACAGCACTGTAACTCATGCCTGAACAAAGCTGATCTAACACACTTATCTTCTCCGTGAGGCACATCACAGCCTTCTCGAGCTTAGGAACACCAAACAGTGCTTCAGCACTTTTTTGGGGGGCCATTTAAAATAGCAGAATCACCAATAAAAATTCCAAAAAAATGTGAGAAACACAGCACTAAATAGACTGAGAAAAGGACACTTTGTATAACAGTATGAAAGCTGAAGATTTTTTGCTGCTCTGTGTATATGCAAAAATGATTGCAAAAGAGCTGTGAATATTGATTTTGAGGTTACAAATAAATTGTAGTGAGTAGGAAAATTTGTAAATACAGACTGTGGATAATGAGGCTAACCTGTTGTTTGTGTATATATAGATATAGATACAGATATGCATGATCTCTCTGTATATATAATTTTTTCAATAAGCCAGTCTGTTCTTTTTGGAAAAATTCAGAATGACCTCTTCTTCTTTGCCTTACCAGCTAACGGATGCCAGTGGGGTTCCTGGCACATTGTAGGGGTTTAAGAAATATTTATTGAATGACTGAGGATGATCATCTTGGTATTTTCAGGGGTGTTTCTTGCCCCAGTCCCTATTACTGGGCCTTTGCCAGCTTCTCATTCGCCTACATAAGCAGCTGAGGGGAAGTGGCAGCTTCCCAGAATATAATTCATCCCAATTGGGGGAACACAGTTTGATCCCAAAAGTCAGTTTGTAAGCTGTGAGAGTCAGTTGGTTCCTGTGGTCTTCTTAGTATCCCTTTAAGGGATGTCATGTACGTACCTTTGAGCCACGCTCCATCTTCTGTCTCTGGCATGCTTTCCCAGTGACTGCAGGTGCTGTGTGTTTATACAAGCCCACCTTTGGAGGAATAAAGAAAGCCATGATGATCCACACCTGTTTTTCCTTCTGGCAAAATGATATTCACCAAAGGAATGGTGGGGCACCTCTCAGGGTCAAGTCTGGATTCTTTCTTGGTTACCTGACCTTCCACATTTTCTAAAGATTTGAGATGATGAAAAGCTTAGTAGCTCTATGACATTTCCTTACTCATAGGAAAACATGCCAGGATGTGATGGCACCCTGGCCCGTGGTTCCGAGTCTTGATTACGCTTTTGATGGATGGTCTGAAAGGCTGGGGCTTCGTGCTCCATAGTGTGGCTGGACCAGGCCTTCAGATGGATTTTTCCTAAAGGGAGTGTGTGTCTTTTTCCACTCCTAGAGGGTCCCACTCTCACAAAGCCAGAAGCTCCTACATAATGCCTGATTCCTTTTGTCCCTTGTTCCTTAGATGCTCGAGGACTCATTCGGTGGATGCTGATGGTGAACCCTGATCGCCGGGCCACTATTGAGGACATTGCCAACCACTGGTGGGTGAACTGGGGCTATAAGAGCAGCGTGTGTGACTGCGATGCCCTCCATGACTCTGAGTCCCCGCTCCTGGCTCGGATCATTGACTGGCACCACCGTTCCACAGGGCTGCAGGCTGACGCTGATGCCAAAATGAAGGGCCTGGCTAAGCCCGCGACATCTGAGGTCATGTTAGAGCGGCAGCGGTCGCTGAAGAAATCCAAGAAAGAGAATGACTTTGCCCAGTCTGGTCAGGATGCAGTGCCTGAAAGCCCATCCAAGTTGAGCTCAAAGAGGCCCAAGGGGATCCTGAAGAAGCGAAGTAACAGTGAGCATCGCTCTCACAGCACCGGCTTCATTGAAGGAGTGGTTGGTCCTACCTTACCCTCTACTTTCAAGATGGAGCAGGACTTGTGCAGGACTGGTGTGCTCCTCCCAAGCTCACCAGAGGCAGAGGTGCCCGGAAAACTCAGCCCCAAGCAGTCAGCCACAATGCCCAAGAAAGGCATCTTGAAAAAGACCCAGCAGAGAGAATCGGGTTACTACTCTTCTCCAGAGCGCAGCGAGTCTTCGGAGCTATTGGACAGCAATGATGTGATGGGCAGCAGCATCCCTTCCCCCAGCCCCCCGGACCCAGCCAGGGTAACCTCCCATAGTCTCTCCTGCCGGAGGAAGGGAATCTTGAAACACAGCAGCAAGTACTCAGCGGGTGTCATGGACCCTGCCCTGGTCAGCCCTGAAATGCCCACACTGGAATCCCTGTCGGAGCCTGGCGTCCCTGCCGAGGGCCTCTCCCGGAGCTATAGCCGTCCTTCCAGTGTCATCAGCGATGACAGTGTGCTGTCCAGTGACTCTTTCGACTTGCTGGATTTGCAGGAGAATCGCCCTGCCCGCCAGTGCATCCGCAGCTGCGTCTCTGCAGAAAATTTCCTCCAGATCCAGGACTTTGAGGGGCTCCAGAACCGGCCCCGGCCCCAGTACCTGAAGCGGTACCGGAACCGGGGGGCAGACAGCAGCTTCTCCCTCCTCACAGACATGGATGATGTGACTCAGGTCTACAAGCAAGCGCTGGAGATCTGCAGCAAGCTCAACTAGCACTCCAGGGCGCCGAGGACAGGCAGGGGTACGAGGGAGGAAGGGGAGCAAGATGGGCTCATAGGCTGGTTACCTCTTTGCTGGCCATGACAACAGACTGAAAAAGGATTGGCACTGTCTCATTTGGCCAAGTTTGCAGCCTTGAGCCAACACCTAAAGGGGAGAAGTGGGCTCTTCTGCCGGTTCTGCCAACTGTCAGTCAGAATTTGGGCCCTATTTGGCATTTGCTTTATGGCACCTCCTAGAGGACCAGTTGTCCAGGGGAGGTGGTGTTGACCGGCTTAGTGGGTGGAGTGGAAGCACATGGGGAGGGAGGATTTCCTTAGAAGTTATCCAAATGCTTCTGAGGAGGGGCAGGAGACACTTGGGCTGTCTGCTTTGGGTGAGCCCAAAGAACTTGCCCCTTTTCTCCTTGCATTAGCAAGCTAGGTCTGACTGCATGGAGCTGGCAAGTAGATTTCAGCAACTTGAGCTTGAGGTGATGATCAATTAATAATGGCTGCCAGTTGTGCTGGCGTGAGTGGCCAACACCACGGGGAGGGAGTGCTGTGATTGACTAGTCATGGCTACCATGGACAAGGGAAGGGCAGCAGTAGCACTAATGCTATGTCGCTGTCATCTTTGATCTGGCTAAACCCTGGGAATTGGGTTAAGGCATTCTGTGGGATCTGTGTTAACTCCTTTGTGCCACTGGCGAGGCATTTATTAATTTGCTACTCGACTTTGATGACAGGGCCTTGGTCAGAGAGAGAATGCTTTGAACTCTGCTAAGGACATAGAGTCAACCCATGGTGATTTAGCTTCTTTCTATTCACCTCCTCTTTTCTGATGTCTGCCTTGCTGTATAGCACAACCTCTTAAGGGTGGACAGGGAAAAAGATGGTGGTGTCAGAGGTCAAAACTATTGTAATGATAGGGCACAAGATGGTCTGTGATCTTTGCACAGATGAATGGAAGTTGATGCACACCAAGGGGCACCTTGTCATTGTCTTTCTCAGTATTAACTGGAATGCTGCCTCTTGGGTTCTCACCTGCATGGATGTTTTGAGTTGGACGTGATACTGTCTACAGTCTCCAGAGGATAACCTGAATCAACTATTGGCTCTGTTCACCAAAGACAAATGGTTTCCCCATCCACTGAGTGTAGCATCTTCAGAGGTAGACGAGTTTGCTTCTAGGGAGTTAGCGTGTAGGCGGGTTATTGGGATGAGAAAAGGAAAATCAGGTAGAAGGTGCTTCCCCCCCAAATCTAAGTATTCTGTCATGGTTTTAAACTTTGACATGAACTCCTGGCTTTGGGGGAAAAGAAAGTTCCATTTATTTAAATGAAAAAGGTATTGAAAGAGTGCAGGGGGTTGGGAGGAAGCATGTCAGAGAGAGAACATTTTCCTAGATGTCACCCAGATGGTTCTGGAGGAGGCAGAAAAGAGGTGCGGCAGGACTCTTAAAGAGTTAAAAAAAAAAAAAAAAAAAAAAACTAGATATATAATTTCTAAACACCCAGATCACAAGTGACAAGATGCCACTCCAACCATGGGACACCTTCAGGATACTAGGTTTGGACTGCCTGGTCTCTTTGGGATGACTTCAGATTCTGCTGGCCAAGAGAAGCAGAACTCATTTCAAGATGGCCACCTCTGGTAGCCATGTAGATAGGAGGACTGGTCTTGGGAACATCTTTGGAAAAACCAACAAACAGTCATTCATAGGGAGATGAGAGAGAATTCACCTTACAGCACTAGGACAGTGCGTTAGAATGGAATTGCCCTTTCCTTAAGGAGACAGTTCAGTTTCTCCCCTTGCCACCGGCTCTGGCGTTTTGACTTGTGCATTCCTTCAGGTTGAGCTGAGCAGTGTTATGGGAAGCTGCTCAGTTTCCTTTCATTCAATTCCATCTCCTTCCTGAACTCTAATAGAGGTTAAAAGGGAAAAAAAAAATCTGTAGATAGCAAATTGTATGTGTTTGTGGGGGTGGGGTGTGGGTGCATGGAGGGCTACCTGCAACTCTGAGCTCCCTAATTCCTGCCTCATTTCATGCAGTCTTTTCTGAACAGCCTATGCTGCTGCCCTGCTGGCCCCTTGCATATGGCAGCTGGCCGTGTCTGTAGCTGTCAGTATGACTTAGATCTAGCACCTACCTACTGGTTGATGTGTTCTTTCCTTTTGCCAAGTGATTGAGTCTGTTTAGTATTTTCCATCATTCTAGTCTTTAAGTAAAAATGACACTATTGAGGAAAGTCAGTCTACCCCTTTCTTCCTCCCCCAAAGGCTTGTTCTCTTTTGTCAGGAAATTCAGCCAGAGGACTGTGGCAGAGAAAGTCCTCCACTCAGAGGCAGAGACTCTGAGTTAAGTCACAGATGGCCTTAGGCATCTGCATTATTTGGGGGGCTTAAGTTTTCCTTCCAGTGAGGGCTTGGAGGGATAAATTAGCTCGTCCCTGAGGCCCTGCTTAGCTCTGACACTCTGCAAACATCCTGTAATTCTAGGTGTAATGTCGACTGTCCTTTCAAGGAAAAACTTGCAATAGAGGGAAAGGCCGTTAAAAGCAGCTCCCTGCTTCGTCATTAAGTCCTGTCATCTCTGCCAGCCAATCCAAGTCAAAGAAGTTACGCTTTATTCGCTTCTGTGGAATTACAAGTGAGAGACACTTTTATGACCTGGTGGACAAAGCAGGAGATTGGCTGTCAGCTCTCCTGGTCCTTTCCTTGCTTCTGTGGGCCTTGCACCGTCTTAGTTTACGCATCTGCCAAAGGGGTAGAATTATTCTTCTTTTTACAGGTAAATTTCAAGGCACGATCAGTTTTCAGGAAGTGCTTCAAGACCCCAGGTGAAATGAAAATGCTAAGTACCCTCTGAATTGCTATCCCTGTTACCAGGTGCTGCTTATTCAGATGATGGGGAGCACTTTTCAGGGTGAAATTCAGGCGAGTTTTGCCCAGGCCTGCTGTCTTGAGTACAAATGTGAATGATCGACTGACTGCTTGTTGCCAAACTGGAAATGTTCTGTAGGGATTTACTGGCATGGTATCATTCCTAGAAGAAAAAAAAAAAAAGAGAGAGAAACTTGACTGCACATTAAAAAAAAATCCGTGTTGTGACTTTTATTTAATTTCTATTTTGTTTTGGTAATAAAAAGTTGACTTTTTTATTTGAATTTGTCTTTTTTATTTATTGGTCTGAAAGGCATTTCAAAGGTATTATAATAATATATTGGTGTAATTTAATTGGTGCAACATGGTTTATGGCTCCCGTCAAAATTGGTTTTTACTCATTTGATTGGTTTGAGCCCAGAACAGCCTACAGGGGAAAAAAAGCTGGATAACCACCCAAAGTGTTTGTATTTTCATTGCACACTGATTTTTGTTTCATTTTGGTTTTTGTTTCTGTTTTTATTTTTAAATTAAATAAATTGCAATGAACTGAACCGAATGGAGACCTTGCTTCTTTATTTGGTGGTTTTTCTTAGTCAAGTAAGTGATAGAATCAATATAAGTAACAGAGACCTATTCAAGTGAACTTAAGCACAAAAGAGAATTTATTTGACATTTTTAGAGGAGGAAATGCAGCTTGCAGTGCAGCTGGAATTAAGAACTGGAGCGGTGGATTGAAGAGGACAGTGTACCCTCTTTTCTGCCTCTCTTTGCATATCAGCTTTCTTCTTCCCCTTTATAGCCTGGCCTTCTCCTCCCTGACTGTGGAGCCCACCTTGGCTTACCCCATAGCTTCCAAATTTACATGTTCTCAGTCTTGGTTTCCAAAAGAAACTACGCACCAGGTTCCTTAGTTCTGAAATGGAGACGTCATCAAAGGCTAACAGCCACGCTGTCTCCCCACATTTCAGTTTCCTGTGCCTGCCCTTTCCCTAGGCACTCCTCTATATCCCAAGGGCAGGAAGTTGCTAATCTGATTGGGATTAATCAGAGTACAACATCAGTGGGTCATGATTTCCTAATGGGGAAGTCCACTCACTGCTCTGCCTAGAATGACATAGTATCTTGAGTCCCATTTTGCCATTGTTTCTTGTGCAAACAGACCCTCCAGAAAGCTCTTGGAAGGAGAGGTGCATCATAGAGCAATATTGAAAAGTTCCTGGATCCTGGCCATAATATCAAATGACATCAAACCCTACCTTAGTATCAAACATTAGAGAGTCATGCTGTGCACAGAATAGTAGTAGTATAAGATCCATGCAAGAAAAGTGACTTTCCAAAGAAATTCCAAGGTGCACCCCTTTTCTAGTCTACTGGAAGAACCTCTGATGTTGCATTGTCACATTTAGCAAATAAAACTATGGAATGTCTAGTTACACTGGAACTTCACATATGCTATGAATAATTTTTTAGAGTAAGTGTGTTCCACTGTAATATTTGGGTCATGCTTATACTAAAAAAAAATTATTTGTCTGAAATTCAAATTTAACTGGGCATACTCTATATTATCTGGCAACCTAATCTGATAGGGCTTAGTTGTCCAAATTGAGCAGGTGTGGGGTACAGTAGGAGGTTGGGGAATGAATGCTTATAATTGTGGCTTGCCAAATTAGAACATGTTGGGGACTCTCAAGTTGGGCTCAGGTGGGAAGAATTCCAAGTTCAGCCTGGACTTGATGATAATTGCAACTGAGTCAAGTTGCTACACCTTTTTGGAACTCAGCTTTCTCATTTGTCTAATGGGCATATTAATTGCTCTCTTACCCAACTCTAACAGGGCTGCGAAGAAGAAGGAAGGAGAGAGATTCTATGAAGTTACCTTGAGTATAAAACTCAACATGAATGAGAAACAATTCTTTGCAGGGCAATATTCACTGACTTAAAATAGGACATTTAAAGGCCTGTGGGCTTTTAATTCTTGCTTCAGCACCTGCCACCACTAGCAAATGGGCGGTCATTTGCAGTTAGAAGGGATGTCTGTCATTTGTGGAGTACATTTGCTTAAAAGTGTGGCCCTTGGAAAAGATATAATTCTGTATCCGGGTAGAAAGAATAGCCTGTGCATGGCCTAGAGGCTGGACCAAATGTGACACAGTAAGGGCAGTGAAAAAATAGGGGTTCCTGGAGTGGCAGCAGTTGACATGCTGTCAATTGTTGTGGGGTTAATGGGCAGTACTCACTTTAAGGAGGAAAGTTGAGAGAACTAACATGCATTAAGCTTCTACATGATGCCCACTCCCTCTTTATTCAGTAGCAAATGGCAGAAATCCACTCAGACCATGTTTACTGCTTCATGAAACCGAGAAGCCCAAGTGTGTGTCTCAGGCACAGTTGGATCCAGGAGTTCAATGGATCTCACTGGCCTCTTTTTCACTCACTTTTCCTGGATGAGGCTTTATTCTTAGGCAGGTGCTGTCTACATGGCAGCAAGATAGCTCATGGCCAAAGCAGGGTTATGACGTTATTTTAGTGTGTGATCTTGGAACCAGAGAGGTTCTTAATGTCCTAGCATTTATGTGACAAGGAAGGACTGTGACTGGCTTTTTTGGGTCACGTGTCTCCTTTTGGCTTATCACGAAGCCCGGGTGGAGAAGTGTTGTGATTGGCCAGCCTGGATCAGGTACCCACCTCATGGTATATTTGAATGACATGGAATCACACAGCATGTGGGAGGACAGCTCCCCAAAGGAAGGAATGCAGAGCCAACAATATTAGTTAGTTACACATTTTGGGCTTCAATTTCCCATCCATATAATAGCATTCAATAATAGCTAATTTTTAGAGTTATTGTGAAGATTAAATGAAATCAAATACCTAAAATGGTGCCTGGCACATAGTAGATTTTTAATTTATACAGATAATATCAGAGAAGACAACAGTAGTAATACTATAGAGTGGAGATATATTTGTTAGGAAGATTTTAGCTGTAAAATCAGCTATAATATTAAAAAATTCATCTGAAATTGACTTAAACACTATAAGGGCTTTATAAGTACATATACCTGGAGCTCTAGAGTTTGGGTGAGTTTCACAGTTACTTGGGTCTAGTGAAAGAACCTACATATACGATCTCCCCAAAATTACATATAGTAAGTTCTATGGAGGAAATGGACATGGGCAGAGATAGCGAAGTAAGAGTGGGAGCTACCCCCTGTAGAAAGAGCATTCAGGGAAGGCATCTCTGAAGAGATGACTTTTGGGCAGAGATCTGAAGATAAAGAACTAGCCATATGAAAAGTGAGCATTCTGGGCGGAGAGAACAGTATCAGCAAAGGCCCTGGGGTCTTCAAGCCGAAGCTTTACAGGATTAATTTCTGATTCTACTGGCATAGGACAGCCATGATCCAGAAAGCATGATGTTTTGTTAAACATGTGTGGCCACGTTCTAACATGGACTGGATGTGATCATTTATGACTTTGTGTACAGATGGCTGCTCCCTTCAACAGGTGGTTCCCAGACGAAGATACATGCCATGATGTGCAGTTTTAAATGAGAATATGTTTCCGCTGCAGAAATTCACT